AGTTTTTAATTGTACGTAACGTATTGTAGAATTGGTTCAATTTCGTTCAAATTTGCTGTGTTTGAATCCTAGCATTATCTCATCAGGCTCTCATATAAGAAACTTGGCTTCAGTCTCTATAATATTAAGAGGAGCTCTTTTTGTTTGTTTTTTTTTTCTAAATATTTCTTTGAAAAATGCTATATTCATCAGGTATCTCACTACAGATTTTGACACTAACACATGAAAGAGGCCTTCTTTTGCATTATAAGACTAGAGTGCTTAACGCATCACATCCATCTTCATCACAGCTATAATCTTCGTTCCACGGTTATCATCACCATGGCTACCCTTGTTACCTTATGCATCTTTATCATCGCTTCATGACTGCAATTGTTCTCAATTTTTTGCAAGGAACTTACGCTGAAGATACTCTGAGGCACATTGAAGAGATTGAAGAACGGCATAGAACCCTCGACAAGATTATAACATTACACCAAGGACTCTGCACAATTGTTTTTAACACAGTGTCATCGTACAGTGTCTGGTTTGTGGTGCACTGGCTCAGTTACGGAGTAGGAGTTGTTTTGTCTATAATTTACATATCCAAAGAATTACTCTCCACAAGCAAGTATGGCACTCCTACAATAAACCTGGTGTACCTTGGCTTATTCTTTGTATGCCATATCTATTTATTCCTCCTTCCTTGTATTTTCGCTGCAAGAATCACGAGCAAGTGCAGAGGTACGACTATTTTTTTGAAGTGCTTAAGAATACTTAAGTTTGCACTTTCATCCTCGCTGTAAACTGCGGTTCCTTGCAGGGGAAGTTTCACTTTGACATTGAGCTTCTCGATGAATTTTCGTAAAACAAAAAACAAACTAATCAAAGCGGCTGGAAAGAAAAAGAAAAAAAATATAATAAGTAGCCAATGACAAGTCGAAGTGAAAACAGGCAAGCGGTGGAAAAACAGGTGACTGGGTCGCGACAGTGGCGAGAGTCTTATACACCAATCACAGCGCAGTATAGAAAAACCAAAGAAATCCCAGATTTCTTTCGCTACTCAACCGTAAATTGCCTTAGGTGTTACAAATTGGACTCTACAAGTTCCGAAATGCTCGAACACTGAGGATGTGCAAGTGTGTTAGGAATTTTTAGAAAGTAAAAGCCCTTAGACAAAGATCAAAACCTATTGACTGAAATTAGCTTAAAAGAAAAGTACTGTTAACGAGAATCTGAAATGATAACGTTAACATTTCCTTTTGATTGGTTTTTAGGATGAATTTATACTATCTAAGCTATTAAAAAAAGTTAAACGTTTTAGCTAAAGGATTTTATGAATTCTGTTACTAAAAACCTGTTTCTTATCTTAATTTAGCTTTGCTATAGGTTAGATGTGTTCCGTAATTTAGACTTAGTAAAAAGGAGATCGCAAATATTACCATAACACACTCTTCTTTTCTGTTAAAGGAGTGTACGAGAAAATCAACTCCACCACATCTGACAGATGGGTCGCGGATGGCCATCCGTTCAGGGACCGTCGAAACATCGCCCTCTTTATTTCCTATGCTAAGGACAGTGGCTGTGGATTCAAAATCGGTAGAATTACCTTCAGCACCTCTCTGGCTTGGCTTTCTTTTTTCTTTGGTCTAACTGGCTTGTTGTTTCACTTTTTTTAAGTTTAACAATTTACGCGCCAACCACTCAATTCGGTAAATTTTCGGAGAGCGTTAACAAGTTTGTAAACTTCTTAAATTATGTTTTTGTCACAAGGAGATAGGTCCTCCCTCATCGTGGAAATTGAAATAGATATTGCACCAAAGGCCTTAGCTTTATGAGGTGAAACATTGTCTCCTCTTTCCCAACTTGTTCTCATTTTCTGGGAAAATTTGAGACAGTTCTCACATAGGGGTTATTCATTATTTTTCATTTTTAACAACAGCAACAACAACAACGACAAATTATTCTTTGATTTTTTGCATAAAATGACAGTGAGATAGTTTGCCCCGCAAATAGCTAGAAAGCTAATCGTGGCGGGGCAAGACAAGTTCTTGAATAACTTAAATCGTTTCTTAGTTGAAATTTAAAAACGATCTCTGGCAAATATGATTAAAAAATACGAGCTTTCGACTGCCCGAACTGCAGTCTTCGACGGGCAGTCGAAAGCTTGTAGTTTTTAATCATTTTTGCCAGAGATCGTTTTTAAATTTCAACCATGTTTCAACCTGGCTGCGGCCCTTCAATATTTAAATCGTCTCATATCTTAGGACAAGGAGTCGTTATTTACACAGTCACAGCGTCACACAGTCACAGAGTCACACTGTCACAGAGTCACACAGTCACAGTCACACAGTCACACAGTCACACAGTCACACAGTCACACAGTCACACAGTCACAGAGTCACATAGTCACAGAGTCACACAGAAAAAGATAAGAAGACATTTCAACTTAGAGGGTGTATCTATCTACCTTATTTTTTAATGATCATGCGGATTTGAATATAGTTATCTTCTTTTTCTAAGATATCAAATAGCAATTTGCGAATGACTTTTTTGAAAGCTTTCTTTGGGAGATCCATTATACAGCTTGGTGTCTTAATCCACTGACAGCTTTACTCCGATCCGAGAGAAAGGATTGTTTTGTTCCTCGCACAAGAAAAAAAAAAGGCATAATACAAACTAGGCCTACCTTCAATGGTAACCCCTTCGATGATAATTAGTTGCTCTTAATTAATTTGATTACATCGAAATATTCATCAGTTTCCCCGGATTCATCTCTTCTAGCCTTTCGTTATTCCCCGAGTAGTCAGTCAATAGTGTATTTTATTGCACTCCGACTCAGTTAAGTGTTTCCTGCTCAGTGATCACCATTGTTAAAAACAGGCCCGTAACCAGGATTTTA